AGGCAGATACTTCTACCCACCTGCTGAGGCAGAGATGGGCAAACTGAGACTCAGAGAGATGAAATCACGTGCCTAGGATGGGACTCAAGGTCTCGGATAACTATCGACTCCATCCTGGTCCCTTGTGTGACCTTAGATGCATCCCCTTTCCTATTCTGGGTCTCAGCTTCCTCTCTCTCAATATGGGAGTGGAAAGGCTGACAGCTTTTAAGGAGCTTCCAGGCCTCGCTGAAAGGCTGTGGGTATAATGCTAGCACCAGGGGTCAGAGGAAAATCACTAGGTCCCCTCAGGTCCCCAAGCAGGGGGAGCAGGAAGGTAGACAGAAGGAGGGGAGCTGGAAGGAACGCCTTGGGGAGTTCTGTTTTTGGTGTCTGCTCAGCTGACGACTTTTCAACCTGAGAAACACACACACACAAACTCTAACCTCCTCCGGCTTAAAATAGAGCTGCTGCACCAAAAATGCCAAGCACAGGGCAGAGTCACCTGCCTGGCAGGGCCAGACAGTGCCTCCACGGCCCCAATTATACCCACCCCAGTGGGTACCTCTGACAAGCCACCCTCAGCTCTGTGACACCGGAGCCTCACAGCGGTGGGGCAGCTCCATCTACCAAGGCTCTCGCAGCCACCGCACAGGAGAAGAAAGCAAGGTCCCCAGTGACATGGCTGGCAGGGCCTTGCCTAACAAGAGTCGTGCCCTTGGGACTCAGGCAGCTACGTGTTCAAGTCCTGTCTCAGCCATGACCCTAGGGACTCGGCAGGTTGGCACCTTCTCTTTTCTGACCTGTAGAGGCGACAGTGTGGCAATGCTCAGCCCACACAGGACTCCAGAGCCTCTAGTCTCTCCTCTGTTTCTGAAAACTGAATTCCTGGCATCTGTGGACAGGCAGTTTTGAAGGGGTAGGAAACAAGACTACCAGCCCAGGGGCACCTGGGAAGCGGCACGCCACAGCGCCTGTCATGGTCCTTTGTGGGGAGCATTGGTATCTCTGTCCTCACATGGGGAGACTGAAGAACAGAGAAGTGGCGATGTCCTACCTGTGGACGTGCCAGTAGAAAGTGGAGCAGTGGGAATTTGAACTCAAGTCTTTGTGGACCCCAGCTGTGCTCAGGAGCATCCCCTCATGAGCTCCCCCTACCTCATGAAAAAGCTGTTCCCCAAGCCTGCTCTTCTCCAGCTCTTCTTGAGTGGAAGGGCCTGGTGCCCTGCCCCCACCCTGAGGATTCTGCTCAGGTTTCTGCTTCTCTAATGCAGAGAAGAATCAGAAAAACAAACTTGCTGATGCCCTTACTAAAAATAAAGTCGCGGCAACTGTGTTAGCTCTCCCGCGTCAGCAACCCACTTCTGGGCCACTTGGCTGCTATCCTGACTCTCTGGGGGCTGAGGGCGTGTAAATTTTTTCTATAGGCACTGAGCCCTAATTCCACCCCAGAACTGAGGTCTTTCAGGCCAGGGTCCACTCACTGTGATAGCGATAGTGGCTAAGAGCCCCTAGGCAAATCCCGTTGGCAAGCAGGTGCTGCACCCCAGCCTACTCCATTCAACCTATGGCAGCTGTCAATCATCACAAACATGGAGACTTACCCCCACATCTAAATTTCCTTCTGGGGTTGAGGAGAGAGAGTTCAGACAGTAAAGTGCTTGCTTCACAACCATGAGAACCTGAGTTCAATCCCCAGTACCCCTTTTTAATACAGGTGTGGTGGCATGAGCTTGTAATGCCAGCTGAGGAGGTCAAGTCAAGAGGATCTCTGGGGCAGGCTGGCTAGCTAGTTGCCGGAACTGGAGAGCCCCAAATCCTAAGGAGTGACCTTGTTCCAAGAAAGTAACAAGGTGGATAGCCCCTGAGGAGTACCACTCAAAGTTGATGTCTGGCCTCTACACATATGCATACACATGTGCATGCATAAGGCCCCCACATGTGTACTTGCAAATCCACATCCACCCCCATACCCAAAAAGAACTTTCTGGTTCTTTCAACTTGGGCCTCCATGGGCTAGAATAAAGCTGCCTGTGTGTCCACATTTTTTTTTCCTTTCTCTAGACAAAGCAGGGATCCGTCCTCTTCCAACTTCTAGCTCCTGGATGTCACCTACCCTGCCTCATCTCGGGGCCCCTTCTCCAGTGATCAGATTGAGGAATTGCTGCCACCTCTCTGGCTGTCTCTCCTGCCTTTATCTCCAAGTACAGGGACTTCTGTGGTGATGCTGGACCCACCCACCACCCAGAGGTTTGAGATCATTCCCCATGTCGAGGCAAGCTCCTCAGCAACCTATGGTATCAGCATCCTCAGTTTCTCTTTGCCAGGCAGCCAGAAGCATTTGCAGACCCCAAGGATAAGGATGCTTTCACAGATCCAAAGGAAGAGGCATGGGTATCCTTGGGGGCTGTTCTATAAACTACCACAGTTCCTATGAGATGGAAAAAAAAATAAAAACAAGAACAGTATTCTAAGCTAGGTGGTGGTGGTCCATGCCTTTAATCCCAGCACTTGGGAGGCAGAGACAAGCGGATCTCTGTGGGTTTGATGCCAGAAGCTTTGTTTACAAAACGAGTTCCAAGACATCCAGAGCTGTTACACAGAGAAACCCTGTCTTGAAAAACAAAATATAAACAAGCAAACAAATCCAACGTTCTATGGATGGTGAAATTAAGTCAACCCAAGCTCCAGAGAAAGCAATGAAAGTGAGCTGCTCTTAACTTGCACATGGAAGTTCTTATTTGACCTCACACTGCCACAAGGTGTGTGCTGCAAGGCAGGTCTGAGTGCTGGAGATCAGAGGATGATCCTTGGCGGTGGGGCGCTGCATTTGTGGAACACAAGGGTTATACTGAACTGGGAGGGATGGAAGATGGCAGGCACTCTGGCCTTTGGGAGCTCGGAGGAGACCACCTGAGGTGTCAGGAAACACAGCCAATGGTGCAGAGAGGCAGGGTGGCCAGGGTGTGAGCCAGCTGAGTTGGGGGGATTAAGCACATCAATGCCTGTGTGGCACTTCTTGCTGCTACCTGGTCCCTGGCAGGGATGCAATAGATGTTGGCTGAGTGGGCTGGAGAGAAGGCGGTAATGAGTCAAGGGAGAGTTCATGCGGGAACTGAAAGTTGAGGGTGGCTGGGGGAAACAAGGGTGAGAGGTTTGGGGGAGATAGGCCTGAGCAGTCATAATGATAGCAATGCATGCCATGTTGCAGCAGACACCTGGGAGAGCGAGCTGTCCCCAGCAACTTCAGGTGAGGGTAGCTGGTGCTGCACTAGAAGTCTCCATACAGGCTCACAGGTAGGACTCTGGAAAAGGGACCATTTTGATGCTTGGAGACAGGAGTGTGCTCCTTGAGAAGTGGGGTCAATGAAAGGTTTCCCAAATGCCTCGTTGCTCAGGGACTACCCTGGGGCCACCCTGAGTCCTTCCCTTTACCTCCACACCCCAATCCACCAGTGACTCTTGACCTATGAATCAGAGTACATCAGCTTCCATGACAGATTGACCTCCCCTCCCCCAATCAGACCCTGACATAACGGATCAGAAGTTCAAAGTGGGAGCTCCTGATAGCACACAGCCTTCCTATGCTCTTCGGGGTGCGATGTTAAGCTTGCAGGTGGGGGAAAGGAGTGGATGACAAGGGGAAAGGGCTTTAGAGCTCAGGCCTGGGAGTGGCATGTTTCACTTCTGCAAGGACTCACTCGCCAATGCTCGGACTGGTGAAGTCTCTTGATGTCAGGGAGCTTAAGCAGCAGGGCTTGTTGGGCGCCTAGCTCTCTAATGTCTCCCAGGACCATCTGCGTCTCTTCATCTGTTACCCTAGGCTAGCTCCTCAGCATGTATTGGCGACATCATCTTGATGGTTCTTCACTCTCTGCCACCTTTTCTTTTCCATATGGCAGTCCCTTGCTTTTTCTGACGTGTGGTGGTGAGACGTGACGCCAAGGAGCCCAGCCTGGACTCGAACTCCTGATCTACCTGCCTCCACCCCCCTCACCCCCTCAAGTGCTGAGATTACAAGTGTGGACTGCCATGCCTGGCTCTGATAGCTTTTTGAAAAACAAAAAGCAAACAAACAGATGATGGTGGAATTGTGTGTGTTTCTGCTTGTGGCTTTTCCATGCTTTCCAGTTGTCCTGCTGATTCACCCTGGGACCTGGAAAGGTGATTCAGCATTAAGAGCACTGGGTGCTCTTGCAGAGGACATAGGTTCTATTCCCAGCACCCACATGGTGGCTCACAACTGTCTGTAACTCCAGTTCCAGGAGAGCCTACGCCCTCTTCTGGCCTCCATGGGCCCTGTGCAAATGGTACGCAGGCGAATATATGTGTAGACAAATATAAAATATAAAATATAATATAAATATAAAATTTGAGAGATGGCTCAGAGGTTAAGAGCACTGCCTGCTCTTCCAGAGGTCCTGAGTTCAATTCCCAGCAACCACATGGTGGCTCACAACCATCTGCAATGAGATCTGATGCCCTCTTCTGGACTGGTGGCATACAAGCAAACAGAACACTGTACACATAATAAACAAACAAACAAACAAATAAGAAAGTGACGTGATCTAAAAAAAAATGGATGTATGGAAGTCATTTCTTTCTGTTCCTCCTGTCTCTTCAGCCTGCATCCCAGTTCTCCAGACTCCGGCCACATCAGCTTCACTGCTGCTCCCGTTGTCTCCTGCCACCAAATCACCTCCCTTCTGATTTGGCGAGGAACCTACACTTGTGGCCTGGATTTTTGTCTCCCTGGTCACTCCTGGATGGCTTGGCACGCGCCTCTCCAAGCACTATTTTTCTCCTTTATCACACCTGTCTTACCTTATCTTTTTGTTCATTCATCATCCCTCCCTGCTTGCTGACAAACCCGTCCTACTACCACCGAGAACGGTGGGCACCAGAGGGCGCTTGGTAAACATTTCCTAGATTATAGACGGGAGGAAGGAAAGGGTGACCAGCCCCAAGTACTAGGGCGAGCTCGGGATGGAGGCGGGCCCTCGGCACACCTGAGTCGGGCTTCTGCACCAGATGTTCCTGCGGGGACCTGCATGAGCTAGGGCGGGGAAGCGGCGGGAGAACTCAGAGTTGGCCCTCTGCTGTACGCCAGGCGCGGAGAGATGGAGCTGGCACCGTCGGGGCGCACAGAAACCGGGACTCAGAGCCGGCGAGACGCGATGAGGAAGCAGAGCGCGCGCACGGCCGCGCTTGTACTGTGCATCCTGTCCTACTTGCTGGTGGGCGCCGCGGTCTTCGTTGCGCTGGAGTCCGAGGCCGAGCGCAACCGGCAACGGCTGCTGGCCCGGAAGCGCAATGAGTTCCGCAGAAAGTACGGTTTCTCCGCCGACGACTACCGCGAGCTGGAGCGCTTGGCGCTGCAGGCAGAGCCGCACCGAGCCGGCCGCCAGTGGCGCTTTGCAGGCTCCTTCTACTTCGCCATCACGGTCATCACCACCATCGGTGAGCCCTCTGTCCCGCTCAGTCCCGATCTCTCCTCGGGTGCGGTCCCACCCCCGTCCCTGCGTTTGGAAGGAGCATATTAGTTAGCTCTCCGAGGCTCATTTGCCTCGCTGGGCGAAATGGGGGTAGTCAGTAATGGTTTGCCACGAGGCTGTCACAAGGGTGCTTAGAACAAACCCCAGGGTCTTGGGGAACAGAAATGGGGCTTCTTTGTCCCACTCTGTCAGCTGTGTAACCTTAGATAAGTTTCTTGACTTCTCTGAGCCACTGTGTTTTCCTTAGAAAACTAGGAGTCCTAATATGTTTTGCAAGGGGAAGAGAGGAACGTCAGCTGTAGTGGAGATTATTATGTGTGCGTGCAGATCGTTTTAGCATAGAGCCTGATCCACAGAAAACACCGTGGAAATAAGTTTGCCTTTTTATTATAATAGAGATTATTCTGTTAGCCCCGCATAACAGAGCTGTCATTTGGCTTGGGACCGACCGCTGTGTGGCTAGTGGCCTACCCAGAGTCTGTGGCTAGCGGCCTACCCAGAGTCTAATAGGAGTCCCATCACTTGTTAAGGGAGTGACTGATAACCAAAGCTTTGCCTCATATTGGAGCATCCAGGGGAGCCCCTTATGTATATCATTTGAATTCCAGCGGTGGCCATAACTGCGGGTGTTCAGGACCTGGGGGCTAAGCCTGGGGAGCCTGAAGGGAGAGAAGCAGACTCTCGGAGGCTTCAGACCTGTGTTAGCTAGCCACTTGGTACCAGGCTCCAACTGTAGTTTCCAGGTCTCCCGGTGGCCTCAGCGGAGCAAACGGGAAACCAACATCTGGGAGAATGTGCTTGCACAGGAGCCATGGGTTTAAAAGCACACCTGCAACCCTAAAAGCTGAGTTTTGGGCACCTCCAGCCTCCTGCCTTCTCAGGCAAGCTACCGTGCCCCCTCGACATCTGTTTTTGTCAAAGGCAAAAAGCAAATGTTCTACCTTGCTGGGTGAATCCCAGGTTTAAAGTGAGGTCAGATGTATGAGCCGCCCAGCACGGTGCCATAGGCTATGCGGGCACTATTCGTTAGTAATGATTTATCAGTTGCCAGCTGTAAACCCAGCTCCCAGCAATGCTTCTGCCATCTCTTGTCCACAAGCCCCATTCTCAAGACCGTGCCTACAGAGGTTGTGTCTCTTCTGAAGCCTCTGCCCCTTTCCATTTTCGCTGAAGGTCTACCAGCCAGATGTGGCCTCTTCCCGTGTTAATGCTAATCAGAAACCAAGGTTGGAAAAGAAACCGGGGATGGGGGTGTGGGGGGAATCACCACCACTAACAACAAAACAATGGTGTAGAAATGGGAACTGTTTTGGCTTTCAGACCACTAGGGGGCACCACTACCTGCTGTGTTGTTAAAAAGGAGGGTCTTGCAGGAAGCCAGGCTCTTGGAGTCCAGAAACTCTCGTTCTGCTTTAGCAGAGGCATGGAAGACCTGGGGCTAACAGCTCAGGCGTTGGGACCTTTGCACAGCTCCTTCCCCCGCAAGTCTGCTTTCTTTATCATAAAACAGGGTTAACCTGGGCCTAATGAGAGAACGGAGAGTACCTGGTATGTGTTGTTGTCATTACTCATTTCCCGATGCTCAAACCTGGCAGAGCTCAAGCAGATGAAAGCAGCGCTTCCTGATCTGCTAGCCCCGAGGAGAGCCCTGTCCCCCTCTGGCTTCCCTCTCCTCCCATTTGCTTGGAGTCAGTTAACTTTCTTTGAGCCTATTGTCTGCGTGTCTGTACAGAGCACAGGTGACTCAGGGTATACAGACGTGGCTACCATGGTCCCTGCCCTCGAGAATTCACAGTAGTGATGGGCAGAGTGTATGCCTCCCCTGGTACCATGGAACCACGCAGTGGACGGGCGATCAACCATAGGGGCTTAGAATATTACATATGTTCACACTGCACATTTCACAGGGTGCCAAAGGGTACAGGGTGAAAAGGAAACTTGTTCCCGCCCCCCCCCCTTCCCGGAAGCCCATTTGGTCTTTTTTCTTAGTGTATATTAATTGTGCAGAACAATGGGTTTCACCGTGACGTTTTCATACACGTGTACCAGGCATGTTGATCATACCTACCTCACTACTTTCTCTTGTCCTCCTCTGGTCCTCTTTCTAAGTGATCTCTCTTCTAGCTTTCATGTGAAAAATGAAACATGCTATTTTTGGCTTTGTGAGCCTCTATCCTATCTTTTAATACGTTCATCCATCCCTCTGGTTCATATACATCTGACCTGTCTCTCACACACCTCCAGCTACATGCTCTGTATAGCTCTGGATATGCTCTGTGTATATTTTCCTTCAAATACCACATGCTGTCAGGCTAATATATTATATATATTCTTCTGCCTATTCTTACTCTTTTCATTCCGTACACCCTTTGTTTTTTTTGAGACAGGGCCTCATTGTGCCCAGACTGGCTTCAAAATCACTATAGCTGTGAAGAACAGAACTTTTGGTCTTCGTGCCTCTACCTCCCAAGTGCTGGAGATTTCCAGGTGTGTGCCACCATGCTTGTCTTGTAGGAGGTAGTGGGAATTGAACATGGGACGCCAGACATGCTAGCCAAGCAGTCTATCAACTGACTAGACCATATCAGCCATATCCTAGACCCTAATTTAGGACATCTTAATGCTTTTTTTATATCAACTCTAAAGAGCCACGACATTTTTTTCCCAGGTTGAATAGTAGGTCTTCTCAGCTTTAGAAGTACTGACATCTTGCTCAGGTTAATTCTGTTTTGGGGGGCCTGCCCTGGGCCCTGTAAGATGTTGGTAGCCTCCTCAGCCTCTGCCTCTGGATGCCAACACAGCTAACCCCATTCTCGTCCCCTAGTAGAGAAAACCAAGAGCGTCCTTAGGTGCTGTCCAGATGTCTGCATGGCGATGTGGCCATTGTGGTCTGGTGTACTGTTCCACCGTTTAGATAAAGCTGAGACAGACCTAACCAGGCCTCTACTGATGGATGGGTGCTTGGTTCTGACTTTTGCTATGACCACAATGGCAGCCCATGTGTGCATGCCATTTTGTACATCTGTGTGCACTGGAGGTCTAACCGTGTGCACAGGTCTAGGGGTCTGTATGCTTTCCCTCTGGGCAGACAGGGTCAGTCTGCTGGAGGAGGGATATTGTCTTTGGGAGATGTACCCCTCGCTTCTCCCTGGCTATGGGCCCACTCACGTTATGGTTGTTCTCCCCAGAAAGAGACATACCCACACACTCCACAACAATGGCACAGTGACCCACGGCTCAAGGAAGCCCATACATGCTTAGATCCATGAGGGAACCAGTGAGCAATACTTAAACAAAAGACTCCCAGAACCAGTTGGTGTTTAGTGAAGGCCGACAGGATGGCAGAAGATGAGGAGGGATTTGAAGGGATCAGGGTGCTGGGAAGGGGAGGGAAGGCAGTCCAAGGGGGAGGGAAATCTGAAAGAAGTGGAGAAGCAACGTTCTTGTAGGGAAACAGCAGTGTGTGCCTGAAGAGTGTGGGTGTCAAGGGGGTGAGCAGAGAGACTAAGGATTTGAAAGGAGGGGTGAGGTTGGAGAGTGGGGAGAAGGGGTGAGGCTGGAGAGTGGAGAGGAGGGGTGAGGCTGGGGAGTGGAAAGGAGGGGTGAGGCTGGAGAGTGGAGAGGAGGGGTGAGGCTAGAGAGTGGAGGGGAGGGGTGAGGCTAGGGAGTGGGGAGGAGGGATGAGGCTGGAGAGTGGGGAGGAGGAGTGAGGTTAGGGAGTGGGGAGGTGAGCAAAGGGGGATGAGACTGGGGAGGAAGGAGTGGATGAGGATGAGTGAGTGGAGGGATAGGGATGGAAGTGTGTGGGGGGCTCCTTGTGAGAACTGGGACTTCACCCTGGAGGTACTAGAAAACCACAGAAGACCTATCTCCTGCCCCTTTAGACCAAGGCATAATTTGCTAAAATTCCATTTTCTGTACACCGTAGGTTGTCAGAGCACCTATCAAATACGTGTAGACCAAGTCACAGAACCCCTCCCATAGCCCTTTGTGTAGTCCTCCAACCCCTAGGGCAGCCAGCCACAGCGCTGTTCTGTCGCTCCAATTGCTATTTCCAGAGCATCCTATCAACTGGGTCCATGCTTTGGGGCTGAGCTTCCTCCACTGCACCGGGCAAAATACATTTAAGATCCTTCACTACTGCTGGGGACAGAAGATGCCCCAACAGAATTCTGTGGTTCTGAAGGACCACAGGTAGATTATCCATCTTTGGAAGGGGGAGCGGCAGGAAATGAGACACCTGGAATATGAACAGCTACACAGGGGTTCAGAGTGTGGGGACGACCTAAGTGGGGCTTGGAGTTGCTGGGGGCAGGCTGGCCTGGGGTGGGGGCGCCTTGGGGCTGGCTATGCTCTCAGTACCCCATCTCTCTTTCCACACAGGGTATGGCCATGCTGCGCCAGGCACAGACTCCGGTAAGGTCTTCTGCATGTTCTATGCACTCCTGGGCATCCCCCTGACGCTGGTCACCTTTCAGAGCCTGGGCGAGCGTCTAAACGCGCTGGTGAGGTTCCTGCTACTGGCTGCCAAGCGCTGCCTGGGTCTGCAGCGGCCGCACGTTTCCGCAGAGAACATGGTGGTAGCCGGGCTGCTGCTGTGCGCTGCCACCCTGGCCCTCGGCGCCGCTGCCTTTGCGCACTTTGAGGGCTGGACCTTCTTCCATGCCTACTACTACTGCTTCATCACTCTCACCACCATCGGCTTTGGCGACTTCGTGGCGCTACAGAGAGATGAGGCGCTACAGAGGAAGCCGCCCTACGTGGCCTTCAGCTTCCTCTACATCCTTCTGGGGCTCACGGTCATCGGTGCCTTCCTCAACCTGGTGGTCCTGCGCTTCCTTGCCAGCGCCAACACTCCTGAGCGCTCAGGCCGCTGCGCCAGCGCATTCCGCAGGGGGGCGCTCAAGAGACGTGACCGCACTGCGGCCTCCACCTGTATCTCTCAGGGCATCCACCAGCTGGATACTTGGGCATGCGACAACCCGGCCTTCTCACCTCCCTTGAGTCCAGAAGCCCTGTACCACTGCCACAATAGTACAGACGGACGCCGAGCTCGGAGGAAGTCCATCTGAAAGTCCTACCCTACCCGGGCGAAGGCTGACCAATCAATGTCTAGCTGTGCCTGTTAGCAAACCCACCCTTCCTCCGGCTTGGAGGGGGTTGAGGCTCCCGTTACCATCTGCGAACCATCCCTTCTAGAAATACATGAATGTTGCACTAAAAGCAGAAGCCGACTCTACAGTCACCCTGGAGGTGTAAACGGTTTGGTCTAAACTTGTAGGAAAATGTGGCCTTCAGCCACTAGGAGGCGTGATACCAGGTTGCCCCTTCAAAGAATGACAAGTGGGCTAGCTTCTGCCCTGAAGAGGAAAGGCACAATTTTAAGTACTAGAATTTGACTAATGAGTCTGGATGCTCATGCTACAAGTATGAGACAAATTGAAGGCAGTTTATGGCTCACAGTGGGCAATTTCTGCACCATATAGATGGCATTCCCTTTGCTCTGCATGAAGGGTGGGAATTATCCCAACTGTAAATGGTTGCCCCCACTGACAAGCAGAAGCCCTGTCCCTGCGTAGCCCCTTCTGGATGAAGGGGATGGACTCCCCCCTCCCTACTTATAGACAGCTCAGTGGTGTGGGATGCATTTCATTCTGGGTCCCACCAATCACCAGCAACATGTCATTGGGATCCACATCGCTGTCCTGAACCCCAGCTTCTCCACCAGTAAGTCAGAGCCCAATGGCAGACCCTGTTTCACAAGGCACCTGGGGGAGAGCTCCCTGACTTGAGTTTCTGCTCCCAGAGGATGCTAATCAGCCCAAGGCGAGACACTTTGACACCCTAGAGTGTCACCCCTTCAAACACGTGTCCCTTATCTTCCCAGACTGAATCGTCTTGATGCAAAAAAAAAAAAAAAAAAAAGAGCAAAACCAGTGTAGAAAAGCCAAAAACTTTCATTTCCAGCATGAGCTATGTGGTCATGAACACAATGCAATGTGACCCACTCCAACTCAGAGACCCCCAAAACCCTCCCTCCCTGAAGGACCAGGCTATTCCTGCTCCCCAAGAGGACACGGGAAGGTGGGTAGATGGATGGAGGCTCCCAGTCCAAGGACTCTGGGGTCCCACCTTCCTGCCACCTTGCAGGAGGATACAAAGGGCTCAGAGGTAATACCTATGTCTGCTTCCGGCCTCCACCCAGCCCACACAGGCTCTCTTACTGAGATGAAAAACCCTTGGGTTTGCCAGGTAAGCTGTGGGAACTCTTCCTCCACCAAGGTCCTGTTCCGCAGACACAGGCCCTCTTGGGGGTGCCAAGAGAGCCATTGCAAAGGACAGGAAGGGGGTCCAAGGCTCTGGGTCTGGTGTAGCGCTGTTGCTCAATAAATAAATGCAGGTGACCTTGCCTGGTGCAACAGCTCTGCTTTGGGAGAGCGTGGGGCGCTGTGCTGCTTCTGAACCTCAAAGTGCTCCAGAATCGCCTGCCTTAAGGAGCCCAGTGGTGAATTGCTTGTAAAAAGTTAACTACTTCAGCTGTGTGCTTGCACACCTGTGCTGTGGGCTGCCGGAGAAGGAGCTGGCGCGCTGCTCAACCACTGCCAAAGCCGGCGCTTTGGTGGCAAGCGTTTCTCAGGACCTCCACCTCTCCCTCCTGACATGAGCCGCCTTTCACTCGCTCTTTGGGGCTCCTAGTAAAATCACTGGGGGACACACTGGGAAGCGCTATAGGGGGTGGTGCTCTCCCTCCTGGAGGTGAGGGGGGACTTCCTGGAGCCCCCACTCTACAAACCCAGGAGGGAGCTTGTGCTTTCCACTTCTCAGCTGGACCTGGAGAGGTTATGACCTAGAACAAAAGGCCACCCTGGCACCCCCTCTTCTCCCAATTCAAGCCTAGGAAAGGCACTAGCCCAGAAGAGAGAATCAAGCAGGGCAGTGCCACCTGTGCTTAGAAGCTGGCAACGGGGATGGTGGCAGACCTGCCCCCGAGCTCTGGTCTCCTGGCTGTGGCTCCCAGCTCTGTCCTCCCAGGCATAATGCTGAGGGGCCTTAACCAAATGACTTCCTGCTGGGGCCTGGGTTTCCTGACCTCTCAGATTGGTTACAGCCAGTCATGCCATAATCTGGAGCCACTAGGAGGCTCCAAAGAAAAGGAATAGAAAGGATGAGCCCCCCCCTCTTCATCCTGCCCTGGCTCCAGCTCTGCACGAGACGTGAGAGGAGATCTAGGTAGAAGTGTCACTGGGAATACTAATGACCCCAGGATGGCTCTCCTCCAGCAGGGCTTTGGTATCCTTTTTTTCCCCTGCAAAATGCAAATGGACTAAAGATTCACAGGCCCTTCCTTTCCGAATGCAGAGGCATTCTGGGAAATGAAAATGAAGACGGCCCTTTCCATGGCAGTCCTAAATACAGCCTCTGTCCAGAGACAAAAGAAACACCCCTAGAGACCAGCACCAGAAAGGCCCCCAGTTCCGCCCTCTTACTCCTCTCCAGATGGCAGAGTTTGAGTTGACAGAGGATCAGACAGCAGTAGGGACAAGCTGGGCTCGATAATCCCCAGAGCTAATGATGAAAACCACCCCCCTTCCACAAGTCCTTGGTGAGGACAGATATGGTTCCCACACCCAGTGGTCACAGCCCCTTGAAAGTGGGGCACACGCTTACAATGATACAAAGAAATGGGGCTCCAGCCCCCACTACACCCCTCCAGGAGGTGAGTGAGATTTCACAGAACAAACAAGAAAATCACTGAGGGGCCTCACTGACCACCCCAGGGTGGTGGTGTTATTGCTTTGGAGCCAGTGCTCCTGCGTGTTCTCTCTCTCTCTCTCTCTCTCTCTCTCTCAGACAACTAAGAGCTGAGCCCCTCCTCTGGTTGTGACAGCCAGGTTCTGTCCCACCCTGAACAACCACAGCAACGATGGCTGGGTCTGGGTAGAGAAGCCACTCTCCTGGCTCAAAATATTCCAGACAGTGAGTAATAACCTAACTGCAGAGATATCACACTGGTTAAAAAATAAAAGTGGGATGATGGCTAACTGTGGGCCTCAGGTGCGAGTCCCCCCAGAGCCCTGCTCCCTTGTTCTGAGGGCCTGCCCCTCCCTCCACAGACTCAAGGACACTCTGAAGACCAACTGGAGAAGAGGGGCCTGTGAACAGCCCTTCCTTGTGCAGTGTCTACAGCTCCACGTGGAGGTGACAGAACTGGACCAGAGCCCTACAGGGCACTCAGAGCTAAACCAGCTTGGGAATGGGGAGAACTTCCAAGTAGAAGGAGTTCCCTGGTAGAAGAACCAGGAACAACAGGCCGTTCAACAGAGCCCTGGCATCCTCAGTGGAAAATGACACACTCTCGTGGAGTCCAGGCCCTTCTACAAGGCCCAGGATCCTCAGGAGTGAATCTGAAAGGAGATCAATGCTGAGGGTATTTCCCCAGAATGCTGAATACAATGGACTGTCAGGGCTACTACCCTATAAGGAGGAGAGAGGAAGACGGGGAGGAGAAGGTGGAAGGGCTGGCCTTTGGGGAGCCAGGCAACCCCTCCAGCCCAGGCTAGAGAAGGAGGCTGCAATCTTCTGGAATGTACTAGGGCCCCCCTTTAACCCCAGCCTGGGGCTTGAAGAAAAGACAACATCTGAGCTAAGAACAGGGCTCAGGCGTGAACACTAACTACCCAGCTAACCTGGACTACACCCTACACAGCAGGGACTAGGTGAAGAGGAGTTGGCAGGCTGCTGGGCGGCTCCCGGGACAGTGATAGAAATGTGCTTCTATAGGGGCCAGACTGTGTCCTCCCTCGCATGCAAAAGGGCTCCTGCAGGCCCTAGGGAGGGCTACAGGAGAGGCAGCTACCCAGGCCTCATCGGAGCCTCTAATTCTCACACTCATAGCTCTGCATCCCTCTTCCTGTACCTCCTTGAGCCATGGTGATGAGGCCGGGGCAGTGGCTTCTGCCCTTCGTACAGGATGATTTATTTAAAAAGACTAAAATGGGAGGGGCTCTAATGCCTCCCCAAGACCGTAGACCAGAGGCAGAGGGATAACAAGATGGCCTTTGATCTCATCCAACAAGGAGGGGTTCTCCTGTTTGGGAAACCCTTTCCTTGGTACCACTAGGCTTAATCCCAGCTTTCTTCAAAGCTCGGCTCCCATTACCCCTACACACAAAAGAACCCTGTGTGCAAGGTTCCGGAAACTCGGGTCCCCACAGTCCTCCACCATATCACAGATGACAATGTTCCTTCCAGTCCACCAAGAGCTCCAGACCAGCTTGATGCAGTCCCATGGAGCAAGGACCCCTGGGGATCCGTGCCAGGCCTCAGGCATCTCCTCCTTTCCTTTAATCTCTGCTGGCCCCCAATTCCTAGAGCTTACAGCAGAGGGCCAGGCAGGAGGGGATGGATGGATGGACTCAGACAGGCTGCGGCAAAGCTCCTTCCACGGGCAGGCAGAGGGAGACCCACACTCCCCTTCAAGTGGGGAGCTCTGGGCCCCCGGGAGCTGGCTCCGGATCCTTGCAAACTGCCCCGTCAGCGCTGGGGCAAGAGTAGCTGCCTGAACCCGGTGCCGCAGGAAAGACACTTGCTGGTAATTGGCACCATGGAGATGGCCGGCTTGGATCTGGACTTGGCTCTGGGCAGCGAGCTTCCAAGGAGGCAAAGGGGGTGACAGGTGGGGTGGGGTGGGGCAGGAGAGTCGCTTGCTCCATCACCTCAGTCTTTCTCTGACTCTAGCCGCATCCACCAGGTCAAAACCGGCCAAGTCAAAAGTGTAGCCAACCCACTGGGAGAGGGAAGGTCTCAGGGGTAGGAGGTGAAGGAGCGAGGAGGGGCCCAAGGGGGGCAGGTCTCCCCATTCTGCTTCCCCACTGTGGGGAAGAACCCCATCCTCCAATGTCCAATGTGCCCCTGGGCCTGGGGTCCCAGGTCAGGGCTGGGTGGTCTCCAGGCCATCTCGGGGAGCCCCTCCCCAACCCTGGCCTTAAGATCGCTCGCCACAGGGCCCCACGGTGCTCTCAAGGGACAGCTGGGATGCCTGCCGGAGCAGAGGACCTGTGGCTGGGTCCACCATGGAGGAGGTGGGGAAGAGCTTGTACCAGCCCACGGCCAGGGTGGTCAAGTCCAGCTCCTCCAGCAGCACTCGA